ACTGCCACTCACACCACATCAGATACCACCTCTGCCACTCCCACCAGAGACACACTGAGTACTACCAGCTCTCTGATACCCACCTCAGACACAGCCAAGACAGCTGTCACAGACTGGGTCACCACAGCCACCCTGCTCTCCTCCCACAGCCCTTCAAGCTTCACAACTTCACGCAGTTACCCTACTGGTGCTACATCAACAACTGCCACCTCCTCATCTCCCACAACCTCTGGTAGACAGGAGACAACCACATCCATAACCCCACCTTCACATAGTGCAGGCATCCCCACCATCACAGCCACACGTCTCCCCATCTCATCTGAAGGCAGCACAGTTCCATCAGCCACAGTGACAGACATGGCCTCAACCCACACAGCTTCTAGTATGTCAGCAACCCATGCCAACGTCATACCTTCTTCCCCCAATGTCCAGAGCACAGGAATAGCACCACTTGTCACCATCTCCCATGCCACCATGCCTAGTATGCCAGCTACTCTCACAAGTACTGGAGACACCCCATTAACTCCCCTTGCTACAAGCATTCCAGTCACATCTGCGTTCTCCTCATCTATGTCAGACGGCAGTACTGGGACAGCACAGTCAGAAAGCATGTCCTCAGCTTCAACCATCCACACGACTGTTCAGTACACCCCAACACCCACCACCACCACCTTCCTCACAACCACCACTTCTACAGAACCACCTTCTACTACTGCAGCTGTGACTGGAACAGATGTGATGACCTCTGACATCCCTGCTGCCACATTCACTGGAGCAACCACACTGACTCCTACCTCAGTCTTTCCTACACAATCTCTCGTGACAGAGATTACAGCCACTTCCCCAATCGCATCTTCAGTCCTTGCTACAGAGGCACTGACCTCTGAGATGTCCAGCTCCTCTTCTCCCACCGTGTGGTCATCACCCACAAGTAGGATTCCAACTTCTTCACCTGGCCCTAGCACAGAACCAGTCACCGTAGCCACCACAGATACATACCCATCATCTGCATTGGTTACCATGCTCCCTACTGATGTCACATCTTCAGTGACACCTCAGGTCACCTCCCCAGGTTCTATTACTCTCACTGCCACTCACACCACATCAGATATCACCTCTGCCACTCCCGCCAGAGACACACTGAGCACTGTAATTTCTCTGACATCCACCTGGCCCCCCTCAGAAACAGCCAAGACATCTATCACACACTTGCCCACCACAGCCACTCTGACCCCCTCTCACAGCCTTTCAAGCCTCACAACTTCAAGCAGCTATTCTACTGCTGCTACATCAAAGACTACAAGCTTCTCATCTCCCACAATCACTGGTAGCCAGGAGACACTCACATCCATAACCCCATCTTCCTCTAGTACAGACAATTCCTCCATCACAGTCACAGAACTCACCACATCTTTGGGCAGCATTTCTCCATTTGCCACATTGACAGACATCACCTCAACCCACACAGATTCCAGTATGGCACCAACCCATCCCAATACCATTTCTTCTTCCTCCACTGAGAACACCGAAACAACACCACTTCTCAGCACAGCTCACAACACTGCCCCCAGTATGACAGGTTTTCTTCCAAATACTGGAAATATCCCGACAAGTTCCCTTGCTGCAAGCATTCCGGTCACATCTGCATCCTCGTCATCCACATCTGCCTTCAGTACCGGGACCACACAGTCAGAAACTGTGCCCTCAGCTCCAACCATTTCACATACACTGCACACAACTGCTCAATACAGCCCAACACCCACTACCACCAACATACTCACAAGAACCACCTCTACAGAACCTCCTTCTACTGCTGTAACCACGACTGAAACAGAGGAGACCCCTTCCCCTACCCCTTCTGCCACGTCCACTGGAGCAACCACACTGACTCCTACCTCAGTCCTTCCCACAGAATCTCACCTGACAGATGTTACAGCCACCTCCCCCATCCCTTCTTCATTCACCCTTTTAGGCACACTGTCTTCTGGGGCATCCAGCTCCTCTCCTCCCATGTCTACCAGTGTGTGGTCATCAGCCACAAGTAGAATTCCAACATCTACAACTGGCCCTAGCACAGAACCAGTCACCGTAGCCACCACAGATACATACCCATCATCTGCATTGGTTACCATGCTCCCTACTGATGTCACGTCTTCAGTGACACCTCTGGTCTCCTCCCCAGGTTCTACTACTCTCACTGCCACTCACACCACATCAGATACCACCTCTGCCACTCCCACCAGAGACACACTGAGTACTACCAGCTCTCTGATACCCACCTCAGACACAGCCAAGACAGCTGTCACAGACTGGGTCACCACAGCCACCCTGCTCTCCTCCCACAGCCCTTCAAGCTTCACAACTTCACGCAGTTACCCTACTGGTGCTACATCAACAACTGCCACCTCCTCATCTCTCACAACCTCTGGTAGACAGGAGACAACCACATCCATAACCCCACCTTCACATAGTGCAGGCATCCCCACCATCACAGCCACACGTCTCCCCATCTCATCTGAAGGCAGCACAGTTCCATCAGCCACAGTGACAGACATGGCCTCAACCCACACAGCTTCTAGTATGTCAGCAACCCATGCCAACGTCATACCTTCTTCCCCCAATGTCCAGAGCACAGGAACAGCACCACTTGTCACCATCTCCCATGCCACCATGCCTAGTATGCCAGCTACTCTCACAAGTACTGGAGACACCCCATTAACTCCCCTTGCTACAAGCATTCCAGTCACATCTGCGTTCTCCTCATCTATGTCAGACGGCAGTACTGGGACAGCACAGTCAGAAAGCATGTCCTCAGCTTCAACCATCCACACGACTGTTCAGTACACCCCAACACCCACCACCACCACCTTCCTCACAACCACCACTTCTACAGAACCACCTTCTACTACTGCAGCTGTGACTGGAACAGATGTGATGACCTCTGACATCCCTGCTGCCACATTCACTGGAGCAACCACACTGACTCCTACCTCAGTCTTTCCTACACAATCTCTCGTGACAGAGATTACAGCCACTTCCCCAATCGCATCTTCAGTCCTTGCTACAGAGGCACTGACCTCTGAGATGTCCAGCTCCTCTTCTCCCACCGTGTGGTCATCACCCACAAGTAGGATTCCAACTTCTTCACCTGGCCCTAGCACAGAACCAGTCACCGTAGCCACCACAGATACATACCCATCATCTGCATTGGTTACCATGCTCCCTACTGATGTCACATCTTCAGTGACACCTCAGGTCACCTCCCCAGGTTCTACTACTCTCACTGCCACTCACACCACATCAGATATCACCTCTGCCACTCCCGCCAGAGACACACTGAGCACTGTAATTTCTCTGACATCCACCTGGCCCCCCTCAGAAACAGCCAAGACATCTATCACACACTTGCCCACCACAGCCACTCTGACCCCCTCTCACAGCCTTTCAAGCCTCACAACTTCAAGCAGCTTTTATACTGCTGCTACATCAAAGGCTACAAGCTTCTCATCTCCCACAATCACTGGTAGCCAGGAGACACTCACATCCATAACCCCATCTTCCTCTAGTACAGACAATTCCTCCATCACAGTCACAGAACTCACCACATCTTTGGGCAGCATTTCTCCATTTGCCACATTGACAGACATCACCTCAACCCACACAGATTCCAGTATGGCACCAACCCATCCCAATACCATTTCTTCTTCCTCCACCGAGAACACCGAAACAACACCACTTCTCAGCACAGCTCACAACACTGCCCCCAGTATGACAGGTTTTCTTCCAAATACTGGAAATATCCCGACAAGTTCCCTTGCTGCAAGCATTCCGGTCACATCTGCATCCTCGTCATCCACATCTGCCTTCAGTACCGGGACCACACAGTCAGAAACTGTGCCCTCAGCTCCAACCATTTCACATACACTGCACACAACTGCTCAATACAGCCCAACACCCACTACCACCAACATACTCACAAGAACCACCTCTACAGAACCTCCTTCTACTGCTGTAACCACGACTGAAACAGAGGAGACCCCTTCCCCTACCCCTTCTGCCACGTCCACTGGAGCAACCACACTGACTCCTACCTCAGTCCTTCCCACAGAATCTCACCTGACAGATGTTACAGCCACCTCCCCCATCCCTTCTTCATTCACCCTTTTAGGCACACTGTCTTCTGGGCATCCAGCTCCTCTCCTCCCATGTCTACCAGTGTGTGGTCATCAGCCACAAGTAGAATTCCAACATCTACAACTGGCCCTAGCACAGAACCAGTCACCGTAGCCACCACAGATACATACCCATCATCTGCATTGGTTACCATGCTCCCTACTGATGTCACGTCTTCAGTGACACCTCTGGTCTCCTCCCCAGGTTCTACTACTCTCACTGCCACTCACACCACATCAGATACCACCTCTGCCACTCCCACCAGAGACACACTGAGTACTACCAGCTCTCTGATACCCACCTCAGACACAGCCAAGACAGCTGTCACAGACTGGGTCACCACAGCCACCCTGCTCTCCTCCCACAGCCCTTCAAGCTTCACAACTTCACGCAGTTACCCTACTGGTGCTACATCAACAACTGCCACCTCCTCATCTCTCACAACCTCTGGTAGACAGGAGACAACCACATCCATAACCCCACCTTCACATAGTGCAGGCATCCCCACCATCACAGCCACACGTCTCCCCATCTCATCTGAAGGCAGCACAGTTCCATCAGCCACAGTGACAGACATGGCCTCAACCCACACAGCTTCTAGTATGTCAGCAACCCATGCCAACGTCATACCTTCTTCCCCCAATGTCCAGAGCACAGGAATAGCACCACTTGTCACCATCTCCCATGCCACCATGCCTAGTATGCCAGCTACTCTCACAAGTACTGGAGACACCCCATTAACTCCCCTTGCTACAAGCATTCCAGTCACATCTGCGTTCTCCTCATCTATGTCAGACGGCAGTACTGGGACAGCACAGTCAGAAAGCATGTCCTCAGCTTCAACCATCCACACGACTGTTCAGTACACCCCAACACCCACCACCACCACCTTCCTCACAACCACCACTTCTACAGAACCACCTTCTACTACTGCAGCTGTGACTGGAACAGATGTGATGACCTCTGACATCCCTGCTGCCACATTCACTGGAGCAACCACACTGACTCCTACCTCAGTCTTTCCTACACAATCTCTCGTGACAGAGATTACAGCCACTTCCCCAATCGCATCTTCAGTCCTTGCTACAGAGGCACTGACCTCTGAGATGTCCAGCTCCTCTTCTCCCACCGTGTGTCATCACCCACAAGTAGGATTCCAACTTCTTCACCTGGCCCTAGCACAGAACCAGTCACCGTAGCCACCACAGATACATACCCATCATCTGCATTGGTTACCATGCTCCCTACTGATGTCACATCTTCAGTGACACCTCAGGTCACCTCCCCAGGTTCTATTACTCTCACTGCCACTCACACCACATCAGATATCACCTCTGCCACTCCCGCCAGAGACACACTGAGCACTGTAATTTCTCTGACATCCACCTGGCCCCCCTCAGAAACAGCCAAGACATCTATCACACACTTGCCCACCACAGCCACTCTGACCCCCTCTCACAGCCTTTCAAGCCTCACAACTTCAAGCAGCTTTTATACTGCTGCTACATCAAAGGCTACAAGCTTCTCATCTCCCACAATCACTGGTAGCCAGGAGACACTCACATCCATAACCCCATCTTCCTCTAGTACAGACAATTCCTCCATCACAGTCACAGAACTCACCACATCTTTGGGCAGCATTTCTCCATTTGCCACATTGACAGACATCACCTCAACCCACACAGATTCCAGTATGGCACCAACCCATCCCAATACCATTTCTTCTTCCTCCACTGAGAACACCGAAACAACACCACTTCTCAGCACAGCTCTCAACACTGCCCCCAGTATGACAGGTTTTCTTCCAAATACTGGAAATATCCCGACAAGTTCCCTTGCTGCAAGCATTCCGGTCACATCTGCATCCTCGTCATCCACATCTGCCTTCAGTACCGGGACCACACAGTCAGAAACTGTGCCCTCAGCTCCAACCATTTCACATACACTGCACACAACTGCTCAATACAGCCCAACACCCACTACCACCAACATACTCACAAGAACCACCTCTACAGAACCTCCTTCTACTGCTGTAACCACGACTGAAACAGAGGAGACCCCTTCCCCTACCCCTTCTGCCACGTCCACTGGAGCAACCACACTGACTCCTACCTCAGTCCTTCCCACAGAATCTCACCTGACAGATGTTACAGCCACCTCCCCCATCCCTTCTTCATTCACCCTTTTAGGCACACTGTCTTCTGGGCATCCAGCTCCTCTCCTCCCATGTCTACCAGTGTGTGGTCATCAGCCACAAGTAGAATTCCAACATCTACAACTGGCCCTAGCACAGAACCAGTCACCGTAGCCACCACAGATACATACCCATCATCTGCATTGGTTACCATGCTCCCTACTGATGTCACGTCTTCAGTGACACCTCTGGTCTCCTCCCCAGGTTCTACTACTCTCACTGCCACTCACACCACATCAGATACCACCTCTGCCACTCCCACCAGAGACACACTGAGTACTACCAGCTCTCTGATACCCACCTCAGACACAGCCAAGACAGCTGTCACAGACTGGGTCACCACAGCCACCCTGCTCTCCTCCCACAGCCCTTCAAGCTTCACAACTTCACGCAGTTACCCTACTGGTGCTACATCAACAACTGCCACCTCCTCATCTCTCACAACCTCTGGTAGACAGGAGACAACCACATCCATAACCCCACCTTCACATAGTGCAGGCATCCCCACCATCACAGCCACACGTCTCCCCATCTCATCTGAAGGCAGCACAGTTCCATCAGCCACAGTGACAGACATGGCCTCAACCCACACAGCTTCTAGTATGTCAGCAACCCATGCCAACGTCATACCTTCTTCCCCCAATGTCCAGAGCACAGGAATAGCACCACTTGTCACCATCTCCCATGCCACCATGCCTAGTATGCCAGCTACTCTCACAAGTACTGGAGACACCCCATTAACTCCCCTTGCTACAAGCATTCCAGTCACATCTGCGTTCTCCTCATCTATGTCAGACGGCAGTACTGGGACAGCACAGTCAGAAAGCATGTCCTCAGCTTCAACCATCCACACGACTGTTCAGTACACCCCAACACCCACCACCACCTTCCTCACAACCACTACTTCTACAGAACCACCTTCTACTACTGCATCTGTGACTGGAACAGATGTGATGACCTCTGACATCCCTGCTGCCACATTCACTGGAGCAACCACACTGACTCCTACCTCAGTCTTTCCTACACAAAATCTCGAGACAGAGATTACAGCCACTTCCCCAATCGCATCTTCAGTCCTTGCTACAGAGGCACTGACCTCTGAGACGTCCAGCTCCTCTCGTGACACCACCTCCAGTCTGTTGATATCACCCACAAATAGCATTTTGTCTTCTAATCTTGTCCCCAGCACTCAAGCAGTCACCAGTGGCACGACACAGATGATTGCATTAACTTCTCTGGTGACAACATTACCAAGTACTTATGCCCACTCTACAGCTACATCTCATCTCCCTTCCCATGGTTTTTCTGCTAATACAGTTGCCCTTTCCTCATCCAGTACCACTGCTGCTATCGACACCACAGACACGCTGCCCATTGTCTCTTCTGTCATTTCCACATGGCCCTATCTACCCACCTCAGAAACAGCCAGCCCTGGTACCACACACTTGACTACAGCCACCCTGACCCCCTCTCTTATCCCTAACAGCTTCACAACATCAAACAGCTACTCTACTGAGACCATGTACCCCACTGCCACCTCCTCACCTTTCATTACCTCTGGTGTCTTGGATACATCCATTTCCATGACACCATCCGCATCTAATACAGACATCCCCACCGTCATAGTCACAGCTCTCCATCTCTCATCTGCAGGGAACACTGTTCCACTGGCCACAACAACAGATATCACCTCAACTCATATGGCTTCTAGTGTGTCAGCACCCCATACCAACATAATCTCCTCTTCCCACAATGTCCAGAACACAGGAACAAACTCTCTTGTCACTATATCCCATCCCACTACTCCCAGTCTGATAACTACTTTTGCAGGTACTGGAAGCACCCCCGTAAGTTCCCCTGTTAGTAGTATTGCACTTACACCTGCCACCTCATTCTCAATGTCTACTCCAGTATTGACTTCTGACCCTGGCACTCAAAATTTGTTCACTACTGGAATCACTGATTCTTCACCCTCATCTCTTCAAACTGTCACTTTACCACCACAATTCAGTTCTATCATGTTGACATCCCATGCCCTTAGTGCTAGTTCCATTCTGTCCACTCCTAAAACCTCTGTTTCTACCCCCACTTTGCTAACCTCACTTACTCCTTCAAGTGGGTCCAGCCCAGAACCATTCACTAGAGTTAGTACATCTACAAATGCAATGATTACTTCTTTTGGTACCTTTATCTCTTCTTCAACATCAACAGTAATAATGTCTTGTTTATCTTCCACCAGTACCAATCCAGTTCTCACCAGTATCACCAACTCTTCTCCTACCTCCTCCAATATATTGAGTACAGAAAATATTGGCTCTTCTTCTGTCACAGCCTTTCCTCCTTTCTCTTCATCTACAACTACCAGAACTTCTCAAACTGTCTCCTTGCCAACCACAACTCTTACTGAAATTACCCCCTTTTCTTATATTTCTCTTCCTTCCACTACACTCTGTCCAGAAACTATAACCATTACAATAGTCCCTACTTCTCCCACTATTCCATGTGTTGAAATCGATCCCAGTACTGAAGTTACATCTACTCCCACCATCCCTTTCTCAGTCTTTCCCTTTACTACCGAAATGGTCAGTGCTTCTAGTTCCGGAATAGGAACTATCCTCCCTACGTATATGGACACTTCTACTTTAATGACTACAGAAACTGAGCCCACCAACTTCATAACTGATGGTCGTAGTTCTACTGGCATGAGGACCACAATCATGAATACAATTTTGACAAGCACCCAAATGCCCACCGTTGAGACCTGGCTGAGTACCATCTCTGTAAACACCCCAAGTATGCCTTCCTCCCCTGGTTTCCCACTTACTTTCAAACCAAGTATCAGCCTTCCAACTGCCATGACTTCAAGCAAGTTGACACATGCAATCACACCCATCACCAGGACTCCAAAGACACCAGCGGCCACCACCCTTACTTCGTCAAGGACAACTTCAACCACTTCTCAGATGACTACACAGTCAAGATTGACTACCACCCCAGGTTGGACCTACTGTCTTTCTTTTTATCTTCTCTTCCTTCCCTGCTAAATTCCTATGTTACCAAGGTCAGGTCCTAGTTGATCTTCTCTTTTTTTCTGGGCTTCCCAGGAACTTGTGAAAATGGTGGTACCTGGACACAGGGGCAGTGTATTTGCCTCTCGGGTTTCTCTGGGGACCGATGTCAGCAGCAGAATATCAATTGCCAGAATGAGGGTACATGGGATGGCTTCAAGTGCATATGCCCCAACACCTTCTATGGTTCCTTCTGTGAGTTTCCTGTGGAAGAGCTAGAACTAGGTGAGTTACTAGAGCCATATGCTTTGCACTTCTTCCTACAGGTGTCTGTGAGTGTCCTGGAGGCACCATGTACCATCCTTATAGTCCTTCCATCCCTGACTTTGCTCCCATGCCCTGTGTGGTCTCTAGGCCTCCTCTTCATCTTTACCTCCAAGTGGCAGCTGGCTTCAGATTCCCTCATGGGTCTCCTCTTTGTCTGGGATGCTTGTGTCCAATGGCTGCTATGCATAAGCCTCGCAGCTGAAACAACACAAATTGCGATTTTACAATTCTGTGGATTAGAAGTGTGTGTATATGAGTCTCATTGGGCTGAAATCCGGGTGTCACTAGAGTTGTATTCTTTCCTAAAGGCTCTGGGAAAGAATCTGTTTCTTTGTCACTTTGTCTTCTGGAGTCTTCCACACCCGTGTCAAGGTCCCTCCCACAAGGCCAAGTGCATCTCTCTTCTCTCTTGCCTTTCTCCCTTAGTAATCTTCCTCTGATTGACTCTGATGTCTTCTGTTTCCCTCTTCCACTGTTAAGGACCTTTGTTGTTATATTGGGCCTACTTGGATAGTCCATGTTAATTTTCCAATATTAAGGTCAGCTGATAAGCAAGATAATTTAATTTTAAAAATGCTATAATAACTTTTATTTGCATATATTAAATTGTACATAGTAAGGCATTTGATTATGACATTTCCGTATATGCATATAATGTACTTTGATCATATTTACTCTGTGTTACTCTTTCTTATCCCCTCCCTCCTCACCTTTTCTCTTTTCCTTTCCACCTCCATCATATTCCCCTTTTACTTTAATGATCTTGAATGTTTTGTTTCTCTCTAACCTCCACAAATGAGAGAAACATAGATACTTGTTTTGGGGGACTGGCTTATTTAACTTAACATGATGATCTCCAGTTCCACCCATTTTCCAGCAAACAACATAATTTCATTCTTCTTAATGGCTGAGTAAAACTCCATTGTGTATATATACCACATTTTCTTTATACATTCAATTGGTGATGGGAACTTAAGCTGATTCCATAATTTGGCTATTGTGAATAGTGCTGTGATAAACATAGGTACATAGGATTCTCTATAGTAAGCTGACTTTGATTCTATCAGGTATACACTCAGAAGTGGTATGGTTGGACCATATGGGAGTTCTATTTTTAATTTTTTGAGTAACCTTTATATTGATTCCTTCCTATCAGCAGTGAGTAAGAATTCGTTTTCCCCTGAATCCTTGTCAGCATTTTGTTTATTGTGGTACTGGGGTTTGAACTCAGGATCTCATGCTTGCTAGGCAGATTCTCTACCACTTGAGTGACGCCAACAGCCCTGTTTTGTGTTAAGTATTTTCAAGATAGGGTCTCTTGAACTATTTGCCAGGGGCTGGTTTTGAACCATGATCCTCCTGATCTCTGCCTCCTGAGCAGCTACGATTTACAGGTGTGAGACACTGGTACCTGGCTTGCTTTTGTTTTCTTGGTGATAGCCATTCTGACTGGGGTGAAGTAGAATTTCAATGTAATTTTGATTTGCATTTCCCTGATGGTTAAAGATGTCAAACATTTTTTCATGTATTTATTGGAGTAATATAATTTTATCTGTACCCTAACACAGATTATTTGCAATCAATTTTATACTTCCATGTAATATAACATTCACAGGTTGTGTTTTGGGATTAAGGCAGAAATATCTTTGTGGGCTATCATTTTGCTTGCCACAGGAACAGATAAAGGAGGGACCACAAGCTATCTGCTAGGCATCCTGACTTCTTTCTTTCACCTCTGGAGAACTCATCCCAGAATTACTTCCTTTCTCTGGCTGCTTTCGTCCTCAGGGGAGGTGGAGAGGAGCAGAGGGAAGAGCCTATGAGTGAGACGGTGGTAGAGGAAGTGATGGCAGATTGGGCCAGATGGGGAAGTGACCAGAATGGTATGCTTTGTGCAGACACAGTGGATGCTGAAGTGAGCATGGAGGTGTCTGTTGACCAGGAATTCTCTCCAGACCTCAATGACAACACTTCCAAGGCCTACAGGGATTTCAACAACAACTTCCAGAATCAGGTGAGGGGAGAAGGCAAGGGAACATGTCCTCTGCTGGACCTGGGCTTGGGTCCCGGAGTGGCCTTGGGCCCAGCAGGTTCAGACATGAGCCCAGGGATCCTTGGTGTTTCAGATACGGAAGATTTACCAGAATGTCCAAGGGTTCCAGGGTGTGAAGATTCTGTCCCTGAGGTAGGAGACCCTTTTGGGGATATAGAAGCTGTGTAGGATGGAGGAAAATGGTGCAAAGAAAGGCTAGAGAATCCAACCCTTGCCTTTGGAGCCATCAGAGAGGGGTGGAGGGAGTGTGCAAGGGAATTGCCCAAGGGGATTTTCATGATCATTTTCTGGGGTCATTTCTTTAAATACTTTACTATTATTATTTTGTGGTACTGGAGATTGAACCCAAGTCCACACACACACACACACACACACACACACACACACACACACATGCTAGGCAAGTGCTATACCACTTGAGCCACGCCCCCCGGCCCTCTGAGGTTATTTCTGTGCAGGAGGGTGTCACCCCTCCTCTTTAGCAGGCTAGAAGGAGAGATATCTCATAGGACATGCAGGGAGGTGTTATCAGGGCTTGATCTCTCTTTGGTTGGCAGAGAGAGAAGGAGAGGAGAGAGAGTGAAAAAGGGAGGAAAAAGGGAGGGGAAGACCAAGGGAGGTAGGAAAAGGGGGAAGGGAGAGGGAGAGAGAGAGAGAGAGAGAGAGCGAGAGAGAGATAGAGAAGAGCTAGGAGAGCTTGGTTTGTGATGGCTTGATAAAGAGAATGTCATCCATTCCTTTTACCACCTTCCCAGGCTGAGCAAGTTAGGGAAGCTGGCAGCCCCTTCAGAAAAGTATGCATGTGGCCTTCCAACCTAAGACCTCTGCCCACTTTCCCTTCCCATGCACTTGTTCTTGGTCCTGGAGGTGCGCCTCCAAGGACCTGTGTGCTCCAGACCTGGGCACCCTCTAAAGCTTCCAGCCCCCTTAGGAATGGCAGCATTGTGGTAGACTATCTGGTCCTGCTGAAGCTGCCCTTCAGCCTCCAACTGGAAAGCGAATATGAGAAGGTGAAGATGTCTCTGAAGGAGGAGCTCCAGAATGCCAGCCAGGGCGGGAACAGCTGCCAAAGTGGCCAAAGTGACCAAAGTGAGTGGAGTCTGGAGGGAGGGGACAGGGTCAGAGCCACCTCCCTAACTTACTCCAGCTCATTCTGCGTGGCGCTTTGGGGCTGAAGGTCCTGCCATGTGATACCTCCTGCAGTCTGGGAGAAGGAACACAGTCCATGTCCAACTGGGTCAGGGTGGGGGTAGGGAGGGTTTTACCAGGAGCTGGGTGCTGGGGAAGAGGCTCACTGCCAGCTATTTTCAGTCTTTCCATGATGGCTGGAGACACCTAATTTTTCAGGGGGAGGAGGGAGGTCACAATGCTCTTCCCTGTGGCTCATTCACGCTCCTGGAATAATGAGAGAGTTTTCCTTACCTCTCCCCATACCTGCACGGCCCCCATTCCACCTGTTCCTGTGTCTGCCGCCACCCCTACCACCCCGCCCCCACAGCCCTGTGTTTTAAGCCTAACTCCATCAAGGTGAACAACAACACCAGAACGGAGCTGACACCGATAGGTGAGTATGGGGCAAAGGGTTTAGTGGCCTCAGGTGCCACCAGGGACATCTGCCCATTGAAGTTCCCTGGGGAAAAGGGGAGCCTTTGAGAAAGCAAGTGATGTAGCCCAGCGCTGTCCTGCCCCCACGACACCACCCTTGGAAATGTCCTCTGGATGCGTTTTCGGTCTCTATAAACAGGCCCCTGAGTAGAATGAATGGGGTTCTTGTTTCTGTTACTCCCTCCTCTACCGCCCAGCCATCTGTCGCCAAGCTGTTGCCAAGGGCTATGAGGAATTCTATTTCCCCTTGGTGGAGAAGAACCGGCTGCGCTGCGTCACCAATTGCACATCGGGTTTGGACAGTGCCATCGACTGTCACCAGGGTCAGTGCTTCCTGGACAAGAGCGGTCCTGAATGCCGGTGAGGTTCCCGCCCACGTGCGAGAAGCCCCGCCCACTGCCCCCACTAATAGGCCACGCCCACTCACCGGCCCACCCACTAATCCAGGGGATCCCCAACTGAGGCCCACCTACCACATCCCACCGCCCATGTGCCGCACCCTTGAGGTCTGTCCACTTGTGTTTTATTTTCTTCATTTTTAAAAATTTCATGTTTACTTTTTATTGTATTATTATTGTACTGGGAATACATTACGATATTTACAAAAGTTCTTACAATGTATCATAGTTGAATCCTCTCGTCTTAAGGGGGAACACCATCCACCTGCCCACTGTTTCCTCCAGAGGCCCCGCCCCCGCACCACTCCAGCTCCTGAGGCCCTGTCCACTCGCCCCAGGGTGGACTCCTCTACCTGAGGTCCTGCCCTTTTGCCTGTGACCTGTCTGAAACCCTGTGACCTCTCCCCAGTTGCTTCTCTACGGACACGCACTGGTTCTCTGGCCCACGCTGCGAGGTCTCAATCCAGTGGAGAGCGCTGGTTGGTGGCCTGGTGGGGGCAACCGCGCTGCTGCTGCTGCTGCTGGGGGCGCTGAGCATCTGGGTGGTGTGCTGTCGTAGGAAGGACAAGGACCGCCAGCCTCAAAGCTGGTGAGTGCACTGGGGATTGGGAGGGCAATGAGAACTGTATAGGACATCCAACCCGGGCAGTCCTGCCTGACTGAGTGAGGTCACCACCTAGGTCCTGGACCAAGGACAAAAAATGGTTTGAAATCTGGGATGAGGACACCGTAGGGACTTTTACCAAACTGGGCTTCGAGGATGACAGAACAGGTAAGTCTCCTGGGGAAGAAGGTAGTGGTTTCCCAGGGTACTACTGTGGCCTGGGTAGGACCTCCCTAGCTCAAGATAGACGTGCGTCTCCTGCCAGCACGGCCTATTCCTGCACAGGTCACTGCCTAGTAGAACAATCACTAGGTGCCCCGCCTCCCTTTTCCTCTCCACCCCATTTCCCTCTTTTCCTCTCACCCCTGGCTGGTCCACCCCTCCCCTCCTCTTTTCTCTTTCTCTAGTAAAGGATGAAAACTTTTATGTGAACTTGGAGAGCGTGGACACCAACGTGAGGGTAAGCACGCAAAGGAGGGATGCCCAGGAACTCTCCCAGTTCCAGTGCCAAATTCTTCCCTGTCACCAGGGCAAGGGGCTGGGTAGGACTAGGAGGCAGTGACCTCATTTGGCCAGCCCCAGCAGGCAGCTCCCCGTTCTCACTCCTTTCACTGTACGCTCTGTGACAGATGCACACGAAGAGACCTGAGATGGCTTCATCCCAGCACTGAGTCCTTCAGGGCCTCCTCTCCACCCCTCCACCCTGCCCAGGACAGCAGAGGAAGTCTCTGTGCAATGCGTCCATGTCAAGAGATGGCTCCAGATGGACACAGACTTGTGGTGTCCTTGGGCAAAATGAAATTGTTTCTTTGCCCTCCATCCTGGTCTCAAGTTGGACCTACCTGGAGCTCCAGTTCACTCCCAGTGTCTTTCACTATGGGATCCAGGGCAAGTAAGCCCTTTCTCTCACCTGCGAAATGGGTGTTATATACTCATCTTGATACCTCTCACAGTTACCACATGTGTTTGGTCAATTTCCTGTCCCAATCCACTATCCTGTCCCAGCTCTCATGTTTACAGTGCCTTTCTCAAATTCTGTGATCCTCATCTCCTCCACCTGGTCTCAGGCTTTGGTTCCCATTTTCCTGTTTGCATCCTCTTACTATCCTAATGCTGTCTGTCCCTCACCTTGAACTTGTAGCCTGTCCTATCTTCTACCCTTTCCTATAACTCCTTGCTGTGTCCCCTGCTCTCATTCCATAAATTACCTCCCCTTCTGAGTCAACTCCTTAAATCGATCCCTTCCCCAGCCCTATATCTCCCCCAGTTTCTGAATTCCACCTTCTCTTCCCCATCCTGGTACCCTCAGTTTTGAATCCTTACCTCCCCCATTCCAGTGCTCAACTTTAAATCCTACCTCCTCTCCAAACCTCTGTCCCTAGATAGGTACAGATACCCTCCTTGTCTTAGGGTTCCCCACCTCATGCTCCCCAGGCCTGATTCCCTGGGTCCCCATTGGCAGGGATGGGGCATGAGCTTCTTCAGTTTCCCACAGATGAAGGGAAGTGAAGCTCCCTTCTCATTCCTATAATCCTCTCTCCCCTGTCTTCCCACGTCTTCCTTGCTACCTCTTTCTCATCCTCTCCTGCTTCTCCCTCCACCCCTTCTTGGCATCACCCCATCCCAATCTTCAGTAAACCTCTGGGCTCAAACCTCCTTTGCTAGGAAGATCAGGCTTGGGGATGGGAAGTTGCCAAGTCTCCAGCTACCGTGTGGACACAATATAGCATTTATTATAAAAGAAACTGCTCTATGTCTTTCTCCTATCCTCATACAATGGCCTCCAGCTGGATGGAGACCCAGGACTTTCATAGAGATGTAGGTAAGAGGACTGGGGGAGCATTCCTGTCTCCCAGAGAGGAAAGAGGGCATCTCTCAGACTGCATCTAGAGCTGGGAGGACCTATTTAGTTAGCTAGTGGGTGGGGATAGGCAAGTCTCTCCATCAATAGTGGCAAGGTGTCCCTTGGTTTTTATCTGTACCCTTCCTCCTTTGACCTTGAGGATTTGGAAGGAATTGACATTTGGTGATGGGTGTGGGCACCCTGAGTTTTCTGCCTTTTGCACAGATGTATAAAATTGGACCCCAAAGACCTTGACCTTGACCTTGAACCTCCCCAATGCCTTCTTGCAAACACACCGTCATTCCAGGGCCTGTCCACATAGATTTATGGGCCCTTTTGTTCCCACTGTTGGAGACAGTCCTGCCTGCCGGGGCTAGGATAATTGGAAATAATCTGCTTCATGGCTCTTTGGTTGGAGGGTTGAGAGAAGTCCCTTTGGACCTTTGTCTTGGGCAGGACTGGTATGTGGGCTTCCCTCACTTCTGACTCTGGCCAGGGCTGGTTAGCAGGTTGTAAAGTCTCAGGTGTGAGTGGGCACCTCACCCACCACCTGGTGGGAAAGCACTGGAAATTTTGAAGGGGCTAGCTTAATGCGGGCGATGGGGAGGGAAGTGTGGAAGAAAGAGGGGCTTCTTAGGGGTGTCTGGGCCTTCTCTTTCACCCACCCTGACCTATTGCCAGTGGTTCCTCTTAGAGCCCTAATACTCCTGCCTCCACAGTCGCTCTTTCCTGACATTTCTTGGTTCCCACCTTTGGGCTGTCTTCTTACACCTCTGCCTCCTGGCTCCTCCCTCTCATCTTGCTCCACCCACCCAGTGACTCTGACTTCTGATGAAGCTGGCTTAGGACAGTCAACCCACCAGGAGTTAGAAGAGGGTAGACAGGCTACTCTTTGGCCAGCTCTCTGTGGTCACTGCATATCCATCCCCTGTAACGTCATCCTCACCCTGTCTCTTCCCCAAAGCAAAGGTCTCTGTGGTCCTATTTATATCAGCTCCTTCCCTGGGAGGGTCTTACTTTTTGGCCCCTCTTGAGGAGGGAAGATCCTACAGCCAAGGGCCTTCCCTCGGGATCTGGATCCCACTGCTGGCTGTCCAGCTCTGGGCATCCACCACTGCTACAGCCAGGGCAACAACAGAAGGTGAGTAAGATCCAGCCTGGTGCTCTGAAGCCTCATGCAGGGCTGTAGGTGGCTGGCCACCCTCCCTCCTTTTGCATGGGAGGCCGATGCCAAAGGGCTGGAGATCTGTGTTGTGATCTCATCCTGCCTTTGGATGCTAAGGGGGCCACTGTGGAGGCCTTCGGTGCAGAGGAAGTGGCATGGCTTGTGGTTTTGCAGCTGATGGCCCAATTGTAGCCCTGGTTGGCTGAGGAAAGACTGAAATCTATCCCTCATGCTCTCCAGGTTTCTCCTGAAAGACAAGGAGGCTCTTTCTACACTTACAGGTGCTCTTTGCTTGCTGCCATTCTTGGGGCTGCACCTACGTGAAGGCTGGGTCTTTCCAACCCTTCCAGATGTAGAGCACAGTGTGCTGACCCTGGCAGGGAGGCAAGGAATTCAGGGGAGGGGTGTCTGGCATCTTCCATTATTATTATTATTATTATTTTTGGTGATATTGGGGTTTGAATTCAGGGCTGCCTTGCAAAGCAGGCACTCTATTGCTTAAGCCAATTTTGCTCTGGTTATTTTGGAGATAGGGTGTCATGAATTGTTTGCTCAGCCTGGCCTCAAACTGTGATCCTCCCGATCTCAGCCTCCCAAGTAGCTAGGATTATGGACATGAGTCACTGGTATCCAGCTTATTTATTTATTTGGAGAAAGGGTCTTGCTATCTGCTATGTAGCCCAGGCTGGCCCTACCATTTGTGATCTTCCTGCCTCAGCTTCCTGAGTGCTGGGATTATAGAAGTCCACCACACCAACCACATCTCCATTCTTGAGTTGGGAGGAGCTACAAGTTCACCTGCGAAAACCCCTCCAATTAGAAATGGCTGAGGAGCTGAGTAAGGGAGACACAGACTTTGGCTGGAGGGTCCTTACTGAACCTTATCACATCCATGTCTGGAAAGCAACTGGTTATAAGCTGATCTCACTCAGAATAGACTTTCAGATTTTCCTGATGCATGGAGAACCTTGGGAGAGCCAGTGTGTGTGTGTGGGGGGGGGAGCGATGTCTGTAGTGGAAGAGGGAGACCTTGAATTGAAGGCTATGGGGGGAGGATGTCCAGGATGTAGAGAGAGCTGGGGGTGGGGATGTCTGGACCCCCATGGGGGCGGCCATCAGATAAACCACACAATAATCCCATGATCCCAATCAGGAGCTCAGACCCTCAGAGGCCACTTCAGACCAACAAACTCTGACTGATTTCCTCTTCCCAGACAAGTTGTGGGGAGTTGAGAGGGAAGGAACAAGATCAGGATGAGCTTCATGGATATAGGGACACTGTGAGTGTGTTACTATCAGATACATTCACTGTAGGGTAATATAACAAGAGTAGGGAGCTATGGGCAGGTGCCTATCTCAGAAGAGGTCCTCCTGCCCTGCTTTCCAGGCCTGGTCCAGCAGATCCCAGGACCTCTCTGGCCAGGTCATCTGAGAAGAATGGTGGTGGTGGTAGTGATGGTGATGATGATGATGATGATGAAGGGTCTACAGTGAGTAAGTGCACTGCCTGTATGTGTTAAGTCATGCAGGAGAGATCTTGCCTTGTTCTCAGATGTTTAAAATTGTGTGAAAAAGAGCCAGGTATGATGGCTCATACCTGTAACCCAAGCTACTGAGGAGGTGCAGATTAGGAGGATTGCAGTTTGAGTCTAGCCTTGAGCAAAACAATAGACCTTATCTAAAAAGTAACTAAAACATAAAGGGCTGGGGGCATGGCTCAACTGGTAGAGTGTCTGCCTGGCAAGTTCAAGGTCCTGAGTTCAATCCCTAATACCCCCAAAACCAACCAAACAAACAGAACTGTGGAAAAGCCAACACAAAAGAACACCTGTCTCAAAGTGCTGAGGGATGTCAGGAGGGGTCAGGCCACTAAGGGGTCTCAGAAGGTCTGATTAGACCCAGAGACCACACTAACAGAGGGCTCTGCCATTTCTGAAGCTACTTCACAGCAGGTAGCTCCTGAGAGTCTCACAAGGAGGATTGTGTATGGAAGTCAGAACAGAGGAGGAAACAGGTTCGGAGAGAATGAGTGATTTCTCAGGGGGCCACACAACAAATAATTAACATGACCCAATCCCCTTGATACTGGATTTGCTCCTCCAGCCTTCTTCACTCTGGAGAATCTTAGTCCTCTGCCTACAATCTCCAAACCCCACCATGTGTTCTGGGTTTTTGAGGAGCCATTCAGAGGTCAGGGACCACTGGTGGCTTCTGTAAATTTTTTCCTATATATTCTGTCCCTTCCTCTGGGTATTCCAGTTCATGATGAAGTCAAGGAAGTTTTGGACAAGTAGACAGTAGGAGAAGAAAGGCCACCCTGAGACAGCATCAAAAACATATACCAGTCTATGTAGGGAATGAGGTGTGGGAACGCCCTGGAAGGTGAGAGGACATGTGCTGGGCAGAGTGAGGGTTTGGTGGGAAACAACAAAGCTAACTTAGGGCAGGGGACACCCCTGCTAGAGTAGGTGGGTGCCAGAGAGGCCTGTGGAGAGACTCTGACTACCATCTTGGAGTGAGGATGTGAGGGCCAAGTTGGGCACCAAGCTACCTTGAAATGGACGTTCCTTTTGTTGGTGGGCTCTGAGGCACCGAAAAGGGTCAGTCCAAGAGGACAGGAGCCTCTTTTTGGTGGACGACAACGTCTCCAGATGGGCCGCCTG